CAGACTAGGACACGAACCCGTGTCCCCTGCATCGGCAGGCGGACTCTCAACCACTGTGCCACCAGGGAAGCCCTGAAAGGTTTTTTAAAAGGCTAAAATGTGAAAAACAAAAACAAAAACAAAAGCTAAAACGTGACACAGGGCTTCCCTGGTGGCACAGTGGTTAAGAATCCGCCTGTCAATGCAGTGGACATGGGTTCGAGCCCTAGTCCAGGAAGATCCCACATGCTGCAGAGCAACTAAGCCCGTGCTCCACAACTACTGAGTATGCACTCTAGAGAGCCCGTGAGCTACAACTACTGAAGCCCACGCGCCTAGGGCCCGTGCTCCGCAACAAGAGAAGCCCCTGTAATGAGAAGCCTGCACACTGCAACAAAGAGTAGCCCCCGCGTGCAGCAACGAAGACCCAAGGCAGCCAAAAAAGAAATTAAAAAAAATTTTTTTAATTAAAAAAAAAAAACATGACACAAGCAAAAAGCAGACAACAGATATTTTCTGTTACTGAAAACATGTATTTTCTCAACTTGGGTCTTTGGTTGAGTATCACTCAGGAACCAGATTAGGATACTCTATCACTTGCGAGCTGGGTGTCCATGGGCAAGTTAACCCTTCTGTGTCTCAAATTCCCACTTACTTAAAGTAACCACCTTGACAGTGTGAGGATTAATTAACGTATGTTAATTAATTAATGTATGTATGTTTATAAAACAAAACGTAGCAAAAGTTCTATTAGTCTGCCATAACGACAAAAAAACTTCACAGGACAGGATATTATACCATCAGGAATGTGATCACAATGAAATTTTAGTAGGAACCATCTGGTTTTTGGTTTTTTTTTTAAGGTCTCACATATTTATTACTCAGCCAAAGCACTAGTGCACAAACACACAAAGAGAAAAATCATTTTCGCAATAAAACACATCCAGCTGTTCAGACAGTAGTGATGTTCTCAGAGTGACATGGTAAGATGCAGCATAAATATGTGTGCCACCTCATATGCAAGGCTCCTTATAGACCCAGCTTGGTTCTTCTCCAATGTCTTCTCTTGGAGTTGTATCTGATTTTATTACCAGTTTTCACTGGAATCCATTGGTGAATGGGATGATTCTGCTTTTGTTTCTTGGCCAAGAATCGCTTGATCCTGAAGTCTTGTGAGAAGGCATGGTGAGGAGCAAACTCAACCACACACAGGATGGCAGAGAAGAGAAGAGAGCCCATCTGTTAGGAGTTGAAAGTTAACAAATCTAACAGCTGCTCTTCCAGCTGCACGGTGCTCTCTACAGTATTTAAACCAATCCCTAATGACCACGACCTCCCTTGGCTCCTTTGATAGTGTGAACTCTGGTTCTCTGGTCTCCGACCACATTTCCTCCATCCTCTTCTGTAACTTGCCCTCTATTGACACCTAAAGTCAGGCATTCCTTTGGCTCAGCTCTCACATTTTTCTCATCTTGTCCACTCTCAAGGCTTCAATTAGTGTCTCTATGGAGATGACCCCACGACCTCTCAGTCACATTTTAGAAAGTGTTTCAAACTGAACTTATCCAAAATACTTATCTTAATTAGATGACCAAGCAAAGAGCTTCAATTTCTCCTCTTTCATACTTTTTTTTTTTTTCCCTGATTCTTATACATCTCACCAGTCCAGAGCTTCCCCTTCCTCTGCTCATCTATTAAAAGCACTTGTTTGCCAGAGCTACCTCTTTGGTCTTTCTCTTCTGTCTCACTGGTTCTTAACCTTTCTGGGATAATGGACCCTTTGAAAATCTAATGAATGTTGTGGATTGTTTCACTAAAAAGGTAACATACAGAACATACGCATGCAATTTCACCTAACCAATGACCTCAAATACGAATCTGTCCTCTGGACTTCCCTGGTGGCACAGTGGTTAAGAATCCGCCTGCCAATGCAGGGGACACGGGTTTGATCCCTGGTCCGGGAAGATCCCACATGCCACGGAGCAACTAAGCCCATGCACCGCAACTACTCAAGCCAGTGTGCCTAGAGCCCGTGCTCCGCAGCAAGAGAAGCCACTGCAATGAGAAGCCCGTGCACCGCAACGAACAGTAGCCCCAGCTCGCTGCAACTACAGAAAGCCTGCACGCAGCAACGAAGACCCAACACAGCCAAAAATTAATTAAAAAAAAAAGAATCTGTGCTCCTCCACCCAAGACTATCACACAAATTTTCATCTCCAGATTTTACTTCCCTCTTATTTTCAAGATGCCTTCTGGATATAGCTTAAATGGCCTAAAGGCATCACAAACTTAACAAGTCCAAACCAGAACTCACTATTTCTCCTCAGCAAACCTCCTCTGCCTATATGGTATTCCTTCTCTCATAACAGCACCACCATCCTCCCAGGCTCCCACGCTAGAAGCCTTGGAATTAACAGCCATGTCCATGCCACATCATCAAGCCTGGAAATCCCTCTCAAATCCAAATCCCACCTCTCTCACCTCTTACCCATTAAGACCTCACTCATCATCCTCTGCTTCATCCCACACTTGCCATGATTAGAAGTCCACCACTCTTCTGACAAGAGCCCCTGTTACTGATTCTATCTTCATAAGGGCTCTCATCTCCTCTGCTATTTTCCACGCCCACTATATTACTTCACCTCTAGAAGGTTACAACAGTCTAGGTGATTCCCCACCTGTTTTTTTTCCTGTCATTTCCACCAGTGTTGGTCTATCCTCCCCCCAAATTCCAAAACTGACCATGTGCCTGACTCTTTTCAAAAACATTTATGCATCTCCACTGCACAAATATACAACCAAATTCAGTTTTGCCTTTAGAGTCCTCTACAAGTTTGTCACCTAAATACTTTTCCAGGATTAGATTCCACAGCTCAAACTGTCACTTTCACCTATTATCTTTCTATCAAAATCACACTCACTCCTAAAGACCCAATTCAAACTCCACTTTTCATCTTTATATCCTCCACTTGATGATTAGGAAAGGACTCTGCAAGAAAAAGGCAAATTCCTAATGAATTGATTCAGGAAATTAAAGAAAAACCTCTTTTCCTGAAAATCCTTAAATCCTTCTGGAAGTATTAATTTTTTAAAAATGTCACTATTCAAATATTAACATTTCAATCAAGAAATCCTCCATAAACTCAGCATTGTTAACCAACATTTACTAAATGCTAATAGCATACGACGTAGATTAAGTTCTTATATTAAATAAATATCATCAACCTGAAGATAAAAAGCTATAATTTGGACCCAGACTCTAATCCCAATAATATTTGTACTTGGATCTTACTTAAGAAAAGAACATCACATTAAGAGGACTTGATATTTCACCTGACAGAGACTGAGAAGGTCAAATAAGCCTACAGCAGTGACAGAAAATTACCAGAAAATTATCTGAATCAGCTTCAGATTAAAAAGAAATAAAAAAAACTTTCAACTGAAATATCATAAAACTAGTTTTTTTTAGTACATATTTTAAAGGGCTGAAGGACGTGATGGGCAATTCTGAACCTCTCATAAAGAGACATGTTTACTGGGATATTTACCAGCAGGTGCAACAGAAGTGATGCTGTGGGCAGTTCTTTCTCTTCGTTACATTCTAGGACCTTATTTCTTTTAGGCCTGACCTAATTTAATTTCTCTTTTGGCTCCTAAGCCTCTGAGTTCATGTTAATTTTCACAGTTGTGCACTGTGAAACATTTTGCTCCTGAAGAGTATGAAAATATTCAAGATTCAATTAAAGTCTTTTTTTTAAAAAATAATTTTAACACTTGGCAAAACATGCCCTCTATGGTATTTCTAAAATTATGATCATTCAAATTTGAATACATTTCTGAAATAGAAATGCTAAGAGTTAAAACATCCTAAAATTCTAATATGATTAATAACACTATTTAAGGAAAGTGGGGTGTAATGAAAAGAGCTGCAGCAACTGAAACAGGATCTCAGTCCACAATCTCAAGTATGCCTCTTTAGTTGTATGACCTTAGGAACTGGTTTCACCTCGAAATACTTTCTCATCTGAAAGACATCACCGCGTTCCCCTCCCTCCAGCTGTTTGTTCAAATGAGATAATGGACCTAGCACAGTACCTGCCACGAAGTGTTCAATAAATATTAGTTCGCTTCCTTCGTTCAACAGAAAAGACACAATCACGAGAAAATTTCGGTGTAAGGGAGTCTACACTTGCACAGGTCTTCACCAGCACAAAACACGACAGCTAGGTGGTTCTAATGAAAAACAAGACTGTCACCCCGGTTCCACAAACGTTTCGGTGAGCTGGATCGAGACGAGAGCGCCTGAATGTGATTCTGCCAAGAACTCCATTAGGGCTACACACATACTTACCACTAAAGCATTAACAAGGAAAGTTCACAGTAATTGTGCTAAAACGTCTGGATACCTTTATGCTGGTAAGAGAGCCCACGCGGGGCAAAAGAAAAACAAGTCAAATTAGGCCCAACTCCAAATGACTCCTTAATAAACTAAAAGAGCAATACTGGCTTATCCTTCCTGAAACGCTAGCGCTACGGTATTAAAAACCCTTTGAAGACTTCAAGATTGAAATATTCCACAACGAACACTGGTGCCACTAACGCCTTTTAGAAAGCCTGCGTAGGAGAGCCCGCCTGGCACCACGGAAGGCACTTAACGAAAGCCGTTCGCGGAAAACGCAGGCGAGGGGAGGAAAATCAAATGATTATTTCGGAGCTGTGCACACACGCCGCGACGAGCATCCGAAGGAATTCGAGGCCGCGCTGTGCGCACACTGGGGGCGGGGGCGTCTCACTGCCGGTCCCGGGGTCCCGGCCCCAGCCTCCGCCCCTCGGGCCCAGCGAGCAGCAACGCCCAGGCCGAAGGCCCGACCCGGCCCGAGGCCCCCAGCTCGCGGACGACGGCGCAGCCCAGGTGGGGGCCGAGGTCGAGGGCCGGGGCCGGGCCGAGGCCCGGGCGAGACCGCGGCTGCGTCCGCCAGGCCCAGGCGGGGGCGGCCGAGCTGCGGGGCGCGGACACTCACCACACCATGCCGTAGGCGCCCTCGCCGATGTAAGAGAGGTTGGTGTAGCGCGGCCCCACGTCGAACACCTGCCCGCGGACCATCTCGGGGCCCGCGCCCGCCGCCGCCGCCGCCATGTTGGCTGCCGGGCCGCCGCAGCCGCCGCGCTGGGCTCGACGCTCCGCGGCCGCCGCTCGGCCCACGCCGCGCCTCCCGGGGGACCGCGCCGCCGCCGCTGCAGCCGCCGCCGCCGCTGGCCGGGAGGGAAGAGGGAGACCGCCGCTCGGAAGAGCCGAGGAGCAGGCAGCCGCTCGGACCGACTGCCTGCCTGACTGACTGACGGGCGGGCCGGCAGGCGGAGGGAGGGGCGCGCGCCGATGAGGGCGTCGGGCGGGGCCGGGAGACGTGCGCGCGGATTGGCTCACCGCGCACGGGGGCGGGGCTGCGCGGCCGGCGGAAGCAGCGCGCTCGGGGCGGGGCACTGCGGCGGCTCTGCGGGGCGCGGTCACGTGCACTCGCGGGAGGCGGACCCCTAGGCGCAGGGGACGCGGAGGCTGAGCCAGTGGGCCTGCGGCGCCTAGGAAGGAAACCTCCGCCATACGTTGCCGCGCGCCCCGGCCATGCCTGTGCGAGTCCGCGGCCCACACGGACTTAGAGGCCTCTACACACGGACAGGAACCGGAAGGGTGACCGAGACCGAGAAAGACATTTGCATCCTGAGAAAGTGTGAAACCTAGAGGTGGAGGCCGAGACGAGAGGCCAGGACGGGACCCGCTGATCAGAGGCTCGTCCAACAAGTTACCCTGATCCTGTGCGTCCACTCTGCCACGAGTTACATTCCAGCAGAAGGAGATGTGGATCGATGGATGGATGGGTCGCGAGGAAGGGAGGGAGGGAGACTCGAGTTGTGATAAGTGCTATGATGAAATATAAAGATCAGTAAGGGGTTCGGGAGTACGGGGCTGAGACACTGAGAAAAACATTGAGATTCAGAGACTGAGACTCAGATTGGTACAGATGGACAGCGTCTCAGACATAGGACATACTGAAATAGAAACGCAAAGATAGAAACACTGAAGTCCAAAGCATCAAGATCTAGAGAATATGAGACAAACACCCTGAGCCTCAGAAATAGTCACAGGCACCAGAGGTTGAAAAATAAAAGTCGGAATCTTGAAGCAAGTGAATGCCAAGAATAGCTAACAATGAGACAGAAGATGATCTAACCACTGCTTCTGAACCGACACCCGGGCCATCTCTGGATGGGGAGTAAGGGTGGGGAACCCTGCATCTTGATTGTGCAACATTGTGATCTTGTAAGCTTGGACTTCCAGGCATCAACAACAAAGATCAACTAGACAATATCAAAGGTGAATAAGGAAAAAAAAAAAAATTTAACCCTCTGGGGAAAGAAATATGTGGCATATGAGAAAAATAAAGTGCTAGAGCCAAAAATTACTCCTTTGCAATATATTTAGTCCATGAAGCAGAGCCCAGTTTCAGAAAACACCTAATTCTTACTCTCAACTAAAAGAGGACATTGCATCTTTTAAAGAACAGGCCAAGATAAATGGAGAGTTCCATGAAATTAAAACCATGATAGCCAAAGTAAAAGCAATGGTTGGAGCACTAAAAAGCAGACTTAACAATGTAGAAGAGCAAATCAGCAGTATAGAAGAAAAAGTCAGTGATGAAATTCTTTAAGAGAGAAAAAATGTACAGGAGAATACCACAGAGAGTCAAACTATAGGCACCCCCCAAAGAAGACAGAGCAAATCAATTAGAGACAATAACTTAAATTATAGTAAAAGAAAACTTGCCTTAGGTCTAAAAAGATCTGAGGTAGAAGTGGAAAATTGAGTGAGTTCTCTGAATCCAGAAAAATTAATAAGCAGAAACCAACTTCAAGACATAACCCGGAAAAGTTCTTAAATTTCAGGGATAAAGAACAAACACAGTATCCAATCAGAAAAAAAAAAAGAAAGAAAGATTATTTATTTAAGAAGCTAAAAGCTGGTTTTCTTCAGAGTCCTCCTCTGTAATAATTAAATGCCAAAGGAAAATGGAACAAGATTGGCAGCACTCTGAGAGGGTAGGTTGTAGCCATTCTTGCATGGTTTAATTCCCACTAATGCCTCACTTCCTCCCAGGTCTTTAACTGTCAGAATAAGTGGTCAGCTTGTCCACCTGGACATCTTGTGACATCCTACAGGGGCTTCAACTTCACATTTCCAAACTGCCAATGGTTAACTGCAGGAGTTCTGCCCTCAGACTACCAGAAAGAGTTCGAATCTTGGCTCTTCCACTTACTACCTGTATGACCTTGGCCTCAGTTTCCTCACTCTTAAAGATCACAATAGGGGGGCTTCCCTGGTGGC